GGTGAAGATCCCAGTCTTACCCTCCACACGTGCTCACCTTTAAACCCTGCTCCTCTCCTCCCCGCTCCTCAGGACGCTTCCACCTCTTCTCCTCTTACCCATTCATGCATCGAAACTCTGGAAGAGCTTCTTCCACATCCTTCCCACATACAGGAAGGCCCCTTGCTCCAGGCAACATGCACATGGTTCACAGATGGCTCCTCCTTCCTTCAGGAGGGAGTTCTTCAGGCAGAGTTTGCTATAGTCTCTAACCTCGGTTGTGGAAGTGGCTCCCCTCCCCAATAATACATCCAATCAGCAGGTGAAGTGGTGGCCCTCATCAGAACCTTCACTTTGGCAAAAGGAGCCTCCCTCCATGTCTACACTGACTCTAAATACCCTTTCCACATACTCCTCTCCCACTCTGCTATTTGGAAGGAGTGTGGATTCCTTACCACCAAGGGAACTTCAATTACTAATGTCTCCTTTATCTCTGATCTCCTTCAGGCCTCAGAGCTCCCCACTGCCATGGAACTGAAGGATGGCAGCTAAGTAACCCCCTCTCCAGTGGGCACTCCCTTTCCTGGCCTCTCTCCTTGTCATAGGCCTTTTGCTAATGCTTGCCCCCAACCCCTACCCCGCGTCATTAGATTTATTCAAGACCAGATTTGAAGGATCTCTAACCAAACCATGAACTGGCTTCTGTTACAGGACTTCCAACCCCTCACCAAAATTGGGCTTTCCAGAGTCAGCATCACCTGGTACCTTCTGACCATCACCATTGACTCAATGACACCCCCACCCCTAACAAGGCTTCAGACGCTGCCCCTTCACAGCAGGAAGAAGCTACAGAAGATTGATCTATGCCCCTGCCTTTAAGGGGCCCAATAACAAACAAAAAAGAGGGAACTGTAAGGTTCTTGCTTAGCATCTAGATGGCCATCTTCAGTGACAGCCGCCATTTTAAGAAAAATTTTGCTTTCCCACCCAAGGGCCTTTCTGAGAAAGGCCCCCCACTCCCTCATACCAACCCAACCCTTCACCACCCAAATTGGGACCTACCGGATTCTAATCCCTGAGCCTCCCTCATAAAAGTCCCGAACCACAAGCCTGTATTGCCTCTCTTTATTTATGGAGAGATGGCCTTTATTTGTCAGCTCTGACAGACTCTCCTGTGCACCTCTGCCTGGTCTCCATCTTTCATTTCTCGCTCGCTCGTCTCCCGGTTCCTCGCTTTCCTTTCACATAGAGTATGCCCAACACGTGGTAGTACACAGTAATATTTTTATATTTTGCACATAAGTATAAGTGTGCTAAATTTATTAAAGATAAAATGGCCTATGGCTCTGGATTAATTTTTACTGCCAAATAAATTTGGGCCAAACATAAAAAGTAGTTTTCAGGATGGGTGTTGTGGCTCACTTGGTAGAGTGCTTGCCTAGTGTGTGCAGGGCCCTAAGTTTGACTCCTCGTATGATAAAAACAAACAAACAAATTCCCCGCCCCCACCTGTTTTTAGTTCTCAAAGCCTTTGGATTTTGAAATTGTTCATCAAGATCATAACCTGAATCTAGATGGTGAGACCAGTGGATAATTTAGCCAAGGGACCAAGGACAATTATGGTTTAGTAGGGGAAAGAAATTTTTACCACAGTAAAGGTCACCCTAAAATCTCATATCAACCCCTAAAAAAGTCACCAATTCAGTGACCCCTCTCTGTGGTCAAACAGAGATAAAGTTTGCACATGTCCTTTATTTTCTTGAGGTTGGTGTATATTTAACATGAAGGTCCTTCCTCCCATTTTCACAACATTATAAAAATACCCTTAAATTAACCAAAAATGTATCTTCTTTGATTAAATAAAAATACTATATTTTAAATAAAATTGAAAATTAAAATGTAAAAGCTGAATATTCAATAAGCAGGGGTCTTATCAGTCTAAGTCTCTAACTTGATGTTCTGGTCCCAGACAAGTTAGGTGTTCAAAAAACAGTTAGGAATGATTGAATTGATAGACCACATTCTGTCAGTATAACTATATTTAAAACTTATAAGTAGGAATTAGAAGATCCAGTGATATGCATGTTTTTCCTTCTGAAGTTTCTATTTTGAACAAGGCTTATTATTTTAATCCCATTGTATTGCCTACATACCTTTTGATTGCTTTTGATTTTGTTGAGGAATACCTGCTCCTGGTATTGGCTCAGCTTTGTAAAACAGTACGGTAAAGAAGACCCTTGACAGTGTTATGACAGCCACACATAAAAATTCACAATGTTTCAGTTTTTTAAAAAGTTCGCTAATGATTGCTTTCAAGTGCTTTGATAATTTTGATAGGACACTTAAAAATATATTTTTCAGTATCTGTTTATTTCATAGGGATCTTTCACACTTTTGAATTGATTTACCTGTCAGTATTTGACTTTGGCTTTGAAACTCTGTATCTGACTGGTTATAATATCAACAACACAACCAAAAAAATAAGATATAATAATCCCTTTCCCTAAAATATTACCTAAGAGATGAAATTGTCATGTTGATTTTCAGATTTCCAATAAACCAAAGAAATGTTATTCAGAAAATACTCAAATTTCAGGTAAGAATTTTTTTTGCATCACCTAATTTAAAAATAGTTTTGACCTAACCTTTGAGGCAACGATATAATTCATCTCTCTGTTAGATAACAGAGAAGTGGCTTCCACATCTTTTCATTCCTAATTTTGGCCAGCCAAGTGTTCTTTCTTTCAGCTCTGTGTCAGTCAAGACTTTCAGATTTCTTTTTCACAAGAAATCCTGCTGCCAAGAACAAAGATATTTCACAGGAGATAATGACATGGCAATGAAAGATATGTGAGCTCTCTGGTCACTGTAGCAATCCAGGTGTGTCCTGCTTTTCTGATAATCTTTGTTTTGAGACATTCACAAAATTATTATTTATTTTAAATTTTTTAATATTTGTTTTTTAGTTGTAGTTGGACACAACACCTTTATTTCACTTGTTTATTTTTTTATGTAGTACTGAGGATTGAACCCAGGGTCTCGCATATGCAAGTCGAGTGCTCTACTGCTGAACCACAACCCCAGCTCCCCCACCACCAACCACCTCCCCCCCCAAGACATTCACAGAATTATTAATATGCATGCTGAAGAAATGTTCTTTGCAAAACAGAGTATCTGATTTCTTCATGGTAAATTTAGCCACAGAGTAATATGTTGTTTTTATTTTTTTCTGTTACTATTTTTCAAAAATTAACAAAATCAAGTCTACCGAACTTTGTGATGGGGGTCTTACAACTTTACAACTTCTTGGTCAGTCCAAGATGGTGAGGGTGAGACTCAAGTGGCAAGAGTGATGGGTCACTCTTGATATATATACTGTGTGGAAGCTGTGAAGAGGGATGCGGGGTTTGCATGGCTACGTTGCTCTGGTGCCAAATTAAAACAAATGCCTCAGCTGGGAGCCGTGGTGAAGGCCCATAATCCCAGCATCTTGGGAGGCTGAGGCAGGAGGATTGCAAGTTCAAAGCCAGCCTAGGCAACTTAGCAAGGGCCTCAACAACTTAGGGTGATCCTGTCTCTAAATAAAATATAAAAAAAGGGCTAGAAATGTGGTTCAGTGATTAAATGCCCCTGGGTTCATTCCCCTGTATCCCCCCCACCCAAAAAAGACTCTGCAGAATAAAATTGCATTAATATTTAAAAAATATATAGTTAACTCTATATTCTTTTTGATAATTATATCATCTTGGTTTTCTTATTTGAAAGTCATGTTCCCTTGTCCCTCTGGCCGTACAAACTGGCTTTGTTTCAACTTGGGTAACTCTATCATGTGTTTGTTTTTCTTTGCAGTTTTTTTTTTATTATGGTAAAATACACGTATCATAAAATTTACCATCTGAACCGTTTTTAAGTGTAAAGTTAAATGGTGTTCAATACATCCCTGAAGTTGTGCAGCCATCACCCTCTTCCATCTCTGGTATTTTTCATCTTTTATGCCCATTAAATACTAATTCTTCTTTTAGGCTCCGGCAACCGCCATTCTGTTTTCCCTCTCTATGAATTTGTCTGCTCGAGATACCGCATATAAATGGGATCCGGCAGTGTTTGTCTTTCTGTGGCTGCTTTACTTCACTTAGTATCATATCCTCAAGGTTCATCCAACAGTGAGCAAACTACCCTGGCTTTAACTGCTCTTTGGAACAAACCCCTTCCCAGCTTCAGTTTTCCCATGTTCTCTAAGCTCCAGGACTTAAGGCTGTTGGCTTTGGTTGAACCTGTAAAATGCCTTAAGCTGAAGGTGTTGAATACATGCACAGGGACATTTCGACAGGTCAAACTTTTGAAAAAAGAAATTCAGCATCCTGAAGTGTCATATGAAAAGGGTAAGAGTACGATCTGTTTTGTTTGCTGCTGAAATTTTTGCAGGAGGAAAATACCTGGTACATTATAGGAACTCGGTATTCTCACTGGTTGGGTGAACAAATCAATAGAAGAGTTCATCCTGTTTTCAACGTAAGTCAAAGCAGACTTCTTGATTAAAAAAAAAAAAAAGAAAAACTCTTTTCCTAAAGCATTTCACTATTCATCACTCCTTTGCCATTATGGCCCAGAAAATTGATTCTAATATTTTTTAATGTGTATGAGCTACCTGAGCAACTGACCCAGTGGATTTCCAGAGACGAACAGAGGAGATGAAATGGTGAAGCGTCCCTAAGGATTCGGTGCCTAAGAGATGGTGCCAACCAGGGAAATGGAGGCATTTGTGCCTCAGTGGAGAGAACATTGGCAAACTTCTCTCTCAGATCTTTTCCCCGATTTGCGTCAGTTCTAGAACAGAAGGCAGGTATGGGAAAGGGCTAGCTAGGAGAGAAGGAGGAATTATGCAAGACCATATTTCTTTCTGTCAGGAGGCTTGTTTGGAGGTAGCTGCAACAGCTCTCAGAGTGAGTATTGATCTTGTGTCATTTCCTCCTCTGAGGTGGATCCTGTTTTGTTGTTTAACTATGTATTATGTAGTTTAATCCACACCTGTTATGGATGCATCATAGTGATTTCCCACAAGTTTTTTTTTTTTCTATGATTTCTCATTGCAGATATAAAGGGCAACGAACAAATTGAAAAAAATCTTCTTGCAGTTTGGCTTTTGATACTGGCAGCTCAAGAATGGACAGAAAACAAGGAAAATATGTAGTGAATGTTGAACTCTCTGGAAATCAGCCGGTGAGTATTTTTGCTTCATTTTGATATTTGGCCAATATTATAGTGTCATTTTCAGCATTTACAAGCTATTTAGTCTCTTTATTACTATATTGGCAAGGTCATAGTTTTATATTCTTTTCCAAGAGGAAGAGTGGACTTAGAAAGATTTTCTGCTCCAATTTTCCTGATATATTTTTTCTATATTATATTTTGACAGTATTTGAAATCTTTATAGATGTAAAATATTAGGGATGTTTCTATGCCTGTGTGATATACAAGTAAACCCATTCAACTTTCTGCATTCACTATCATATGAACATAAAACCCAAAGATGTTATTGTTTGTTAAGTTATATATATATTTTTTCAATTTGATGCTTAGATTTTTATATATAATTCCTGGACCTGTCAGAATGCATATTTCTACATAGACTGGAAAACCAGATGTTAATCCTAGATATAGCCTTTAGGCCCAAGAAATAAATCGGCTAAAAATACCTGCTTCTGGGCTGGGGTTGTGGATCAGTGGTAAAGCGCTCGTCTAACATGTGTGAGGCCCTGGGTTCGATCCTCAGCGCCACATTAAAGTAAATAGATGAAATAAAGGTATTGTGTTCAACTACAACTAAAAATATAAAATAAAATATTTAAAAATACCTGCTTCATGGAAAAATATGATCTACATTTTTTTTAGGCAAGTATTCTGTCCCTGAGCTACATCCCCAGTCTTCTATGTTCTTTCTTTATTTTTTAAAATGCTTTAATACCAAGAATTAAGCCTTCATTGTATATTCTTCACAAGTGCTTGTATTTATTTGGTTATGACTGACTAAGTAATCCTTCATGTCAGTAAAAGGAAGAGCATAGTTTTGGAAGTTTAACTCCTCATTTTAAAAACGAGAAGTTAACATTTCATTGCCCAAAGAATATGTGAAAATTATGTGAAGAAATACTTGGCCTTTGCCATGTGGAGCTGTGGCAGCCAGTCTGCACTGTCCTGAGATAAACCAGGAAGGGAGTCCAGTGTCCCACCAAGTGACAGTTGAATGAAAGAGCGTGGCGGGGGACTCCTGGTTCAGCACAAGAGCAGAGTCCATCTTTTTGGATCATTAACCAAGGGACCCTCCTGTGGATGTTCTCTTTCACTTCTGAATTGGACACTCTCTGAATCTTTAAGATGCCAAATACTGAGAGGGGGTTCATCATCTCGGTAATTTCTCTAGAAAACAGCAAACTTGAAGTTGTTTACAAATATTATCTCAAACCTTTTTTACAGTACATCTGGATAGCTGACTGCCTGTTTCACTTTATTATAGATACCTAGAGAGAGCTATACATTTTTATCTTAAGACCAAATTCCATAATGAGATTTGAAAGTTATTGGAAGGTTACAAATAAACAACATAAATTTTGGTGTTTTGGTTTTCTGTGAGGCCTACATGAGATCTTAATCCTTACAAAATTAGGGGGAAAAATAGCTTACTAAATTTCCTTTGGTAAATACAGTGAATGCATTTCAGTTGCCTATGGCTATCATTAGCTAATTGTGATTTTCCTGTTATACATTATCCAGAGCTCTCCACATGGAGCAATTTTGTTAAGAGACTCCACCTATACTACGAACCAGAGCAACTCCATAGAATGAGATCATCACCCAGGCTGCACTGTCACTCCAAAGCTGGGCCCAGATCACAGGATCATCACCCTTGGTGTAGACCCACCCACTGCTTTCCTTCTTTGAAAGGGCTGGGATTCTGACAGGGCCAGAAAATTCTGGAAAACTAGCCTGGTGATTTGAGTTTTAGTTTGTTTACAAAGTGCATTGAAATGTCCAAGTTCACTAATCATAGGCAAACTAAATATAACTAATGAATCAGAATCAGCCTGTAGGAAAATGAGTAAGGTTGTTAATATAGGTGTGTTCAACTTTCTTCAAATGTGCTTAGTGAGCAACAGGTGGGGTTTGTTTAATTTTCTTCATTAAAAGACAGAACTATTATTTATTTCATTGACATAACACTTACAGAAAAAATTAACTTAGCTAATTTTTTCTTGCCAACAGTATTACATCTTATTTATACTTAATGACGATTATATTCTTTGTATTTTTAATGGTAGTTACTGATGAATCAATGACTATATACAATTCTAGTTTGATTGTTTTAGTGTGTGTGTGTGTGTGTGTGTTTTCAGTTTGACAGTTTTAATGGAACTCATTGGTTGGTTGACCTACAATTTCTCTAGCTACTTAGTAACGGGTTACTGAATCATGATCAAAATCTACTTGTGGTTGTAGCAATAGTAATAAATGTTCTAATGCTGCTAAGGACAATAATGATAGTACTGTGTACCCCAAATTGCTTTTGTCATTTTGTAATTATTGACTTATTAGTCATCCCAGCAATTTTACAAGTGGTTAATCTTTTGAAGAGGAGCAAAGAGTGGCAAAGATGCCTTTGATTCACAGTTAGAAAGTGAATGTTATCATCTTAGGAGAGGAAAAGGCCCAGGCAATTCTGCATCGTTTGGGAGATGTAATGACACTTTTGTCCAAGATGCACAGACCTGCTCTCGTTTTCACTTTGTTCTTCCCTATTTTAACCCTTCTCTTCCCAATATCTTCCCCACCAAACTCACTCATGGTCAACCCTTATTCATCCTTTCCTCTCTACATTATTTTATAGTTATGCTTTTGTTAATTATACACAATTTCTTTTTATTTCCTGTTTGTCAGCAAATAAGTTCCTTGTGAGTAGAGATTTGGTTGTTGTGAAGTCTTTTTTATCTGTTTTATGCCCAGGAGGAGCCCAGTGAAGATATATCACGACCTGGACAAGTGTCTTGTCATTATCATGGATCACAAGCTCCATTGGACAGATATATACACACACACACACACACACACACACATATATATATGGTTCAGTGTGGCCTTAACACTGGCAGGTCTGGGCTCTAGTGCTTGTGTCACGATGATAAATCACTTCAACTCCTTTTTCTTCAATATTCCTTTTCCAGAGGACCTGAGCAGGCAGTACCTGAAAAGCTGCAAGGACTTTTTCAGCTCACCCATCCTATAGCTTATAGAGCAATCTAGATGCCCACCCACAGCAGTTTGCACCATGAGGATATTTACTGCATTCCTGAAGGGTGGTGAGGAAGAGGGGATGCTGTGCATTCCTTGGCTGAAACATTGGTAACTTAGAAAAATTAGTCAAAATGTAATATGTAATAATCCACCTGGAGTTCTTAATTCTCAGAGGTTAAGAAAACATTTATTCTTTTAAAAAGTCACATTTGTTTACTTTTGGGAGAAGAGTTCAATTTTAGAAATTCAATACCATGGCTTCCTATTGACTTTTGCTTCATCTTTGTAGCCAAGCACGTGTCCAAATGACCAACAGGCTCATAGTTCCACATCCTTGTGTCCACCTTCTAATGACGTAACCGCTGATGGCTCCTCCAGCTTATCTGGGGTGTGGGTGAGCCCAGGAATCACTGCTCATTCACAATGCCCACACCCAGAATTATCCACTATACAGGTAATGTTGGAGCTTGTTCTCAGTTTGGAATGTGCTGTATGTAGCAATGTACTTGATCTGCTCTTTTCTAGGAAATGGAGTCAATTAATTAATTGTCTACATTCATGTTAATGTTTCGTATAATTACAGGTAACATTAAGGCAATTTATGGTAAGTCCCTGTTTTCAAAGAGCTAATGTTCTAGTTTGGAATTAAATTTACAATAGATAGAAAGCATATATGAAAGAAAGTCAAAGAAAAACATGTAAGGTACAAATGCACGGTTGGGAAGTGGTAGGGGAACATACATATTGGTCCTCTAAGGTTTAAGTCACTAATCACACTCTCATAGAAAACTCTCCTATTTAAAGCTTATGGATCTGACTCTGTTGGTGATTACCTTATTTTCTTAGACAGTTGCAACTTCTGAACCTGTGTATGGAATCTTATTTAACTTTCATGTGACCTTATATGATGATCTTGACATAGAAGTCTATCTTCTCTGAAGCTTCTGCACCAGCTTTGGAGTCTAGGCTGAGCTCTTCTTGGTTCCTAACCTCACATCTGGTTGACAGAACTAACTTTTCCTCATGACTGGCTTTAGCTTTTATATAGCAACTTGACCTTGACTATAAATCATTGATTTCATTAGACCATTTGGTTGGGTTTTGTGAAATTTCTACTTATCCCTGCTTAATCTTGCTGTAGAGGCTCAGAAGAGTTTGAGTCTTTCTTGATCCTGGATTAAAACTATCAACTCTTTATATTGCTTCTGGGGCAATGTGAAAGAATGAATGAAGTCAATAGGATGTAGTTATAAAATGCTTCTTTTATGTTTGTAGAGGTTATTAAGTCATATTAACCATAGAATTGAAAGATAACAATGGTCTACTGGTTCTTAATGCTAACTGCATGATAGAATCACCTGGAAACTGTTTAAGACATGCCAGTGCTTCAGCTGCACTGTAGACCAATTAAATAAGAAGCTGGGGGTGGGTGCCATGAAGTTATAGTTTTTAAAAACTTCTCAGATGAATCTGATGTGAGCCAGAGATAAAAATGACTGATGCAGGTGTCTTCCATCATTAAGTCACAGGGGAAACCTGCCCAAAGAGAGTCAAGAGACTTCCAGAATCCACCTAGGTCTTGTTTTCAAGGTGCCAAAACAGGAGAGGAGGTTGGGTTTTCCATTGTTTGTGTGCAATTTACTTCATGAAAGTCCTCAAGTGTGTTTAAGGCAGTGTTAGAGGCTCCTACCTGATGTACATAACCTTCAGTTATGTAATTATTAAAAGTACAGAATCATTAATAAAATACGTCACTAATTTACATTTTTCAGATTTTCCCAAGATTTACTATTTTCCCCAAGATATGCTATTTTCTTATTAACTAATGCCAAACTATGTAACCAGACTCTAAGTCTCCTAACCAATCATTAACCTAAAGTACACTTGCACTTTATTTCTAATCTAAAATTCCCATCTAAAAAAGTCCCCTTAAATCTTATATTTAAAACATCCTAAAGTTTATAAATATTCTCAAAACATATCAGAAACCTATACAACTAAAAACTTAAGAATTTTTAAACTTAAGAATCTAAATAAAATAATATTTCTAACATTCTTCTAAAACTGTGTCTTATAAAGCTATTTTAATTAATTCCTAAATTTATTCTCATAAAACTGGTTGAGCTGCTTTCTCAAAGAGTTTCTTTGTTTCTCAGTCAAGGTGCACTAGTTCTCATATCTTTATAATCTTTCTCAATAGAAAGTAAGTTCTAAACATCAATCCACTTTCCACCAATATTAACTATGCTCATCATATATCCCTATGTAAAGTAAGAAAGGGTTTATAAAAAGAGAAGAATATATCTTTATATGTTTTAACTTTCCTAAGTGTATAATATAACTTTCCTTAATCAAAAATGAGACTGCATGGGGTGAACTTTGTAAAATAAGCATAATGATTAGATTTTCTAAGAGGCAGGAAATATGGGCTTGGGTTCTAGTTGATATAATCAATGTGGTGCCTAAAATTCTCATGACCTTTCAAAGGATGATTGTTGTCCATTATCAGATTTGTCCACAATATACTGAGATAGAAGAACAGCCTTCTACTTTGTCCTTGATATGCTGAGGGGTAGTAGAACAGCCTCCAAGGCATGAACTACCTGTTATGTTCTAGCCATCTGAAATTTAATTTGTTTGGCATTTAACATACTCATGCCTCCTGTCAGAAACATAAGCATGAAAATGAAAAGTCCCAATTACATAAAAAAGGGTCTCATGGTTTCGACTTCCCACCAACCAGTGTGGCTTTGCCAGCGTTCATCCTCACTGTGACCCTGTCAAGACAGTGGGAGAGCGGCTTGGCCAGCACTTTTTCTCACTGTGACCCTGTCAAGACAGTGAGTGGGGGATCGCCTTCACCAAAGGCTGAAAGTGGGTAATAAGCCCCCCAAAGGAACCGATGATTCTGGGGAGTTTGGAAGACACGAAAGAGAATGGAGTGTCTCAGAAGCAAAAAGAAAGACATGTTGTAAAACAGAGGAGAAGGGATGGTGTCCAGGGGCAAACACGGTGGAGGACTTCAGTAAGAAGAGCGATTACACGGGCATTTAGCTTTAGTGGATGAATATAATTGGTGACTATTTCAGTGGCCTGATGGGAGCAGAAGCCCAACCGGATTGGGCTGAAAAGTGTGCAAATGGAGACACTGCATTCAAATGACTCTCAGGAAATTTTGGTTTTCAGAGAAAGAGAAAGGGTTGTTGGAGGGTGATTTGGAATCAAAGGAGTTTTTTTTCTTTTTCTTTTTTTCTGTAAAGTAGCTTTTGTTTCTTTGGTAGTTTGTTTGGAGTGTGATTAAATGTGGAAAGTGGTGAAGAAATTCTATCCAGGGTAATCAAAAGAGAAAATCTGCTGGGAAGGGCACAGGGGATGGAACCCAAAAGACAGGTTGGAGCACCAGCTTCAGATGGTAGAGGATAGCTCTTCTGTCAACCAAGAAAGAGGTGAAGTCCAGGTAGCTTAGGTTTGCAGGTTTGGTAGTTGGTGGAGTTTTCATTTGATGGGTTCAAGTTTTCCAATGAAGTAGGAAGGAGGGAAGAGGAAAGCCATTTGATTGGAATGGGGAGGGATGATTTGTGCACGAGGAACGATGGGTGGAGGTTACAGGTTTGAAGAGTGAGAAGAAGACTGAGGACGTACTTGAGATTTGAGGGAGTATCTTGATCCAAGATCTGTAAGGGGGTGTCAGAGCAATGCAAAAAATCCTCTCGAGGAGGGGATCTGCCCAGGTGCTTGGCTTTTCACAACAGTGTGACTGCTCCAAAGTCCAGAGAAAGTAAATCATCATTTATTTGCCAGCCAGCGGAGATGAAAAGAGGGAAATACAAGAGACTTCAGGGAATCACCAAGAGTGCTATTAAATAATGGAACAAAATGTGGACAAGGAAAGATGTAGTGAAGTACTAACCACTGAACCAAAGGTTTTTTTTTTTTTTTTTTAATCAAACTAAAGAAAGGTCATCATGGAATGGCTGGGTGAACAAGCTGGAGAGAGAGGACATGGTGGTTAGGAGACAAAATTCTTGAGGAAGTGATAGATATTGGAAGTGGAGCAGGGTTTGGCATTGAGTGGAGGATCAAGTGTGTGAAAGAGAATTTACCATTTAAAAATATTTGTCTGCCCACATGAAAAGTCAACGGACAGTGATGGAGGAGGAAGGAATAAGTAGAGCATGGGTGATTTTTAAGGCAGTGAAACTACTTTGTATAATGTTGGATATATGTCATTACGTGTTATACATTTATATTTTTCCAAATCCATAAAGTGTTCCATACCAAGAGTGAATCTTAGCATAAACCATGGACTCTGGGTGATAATTAGTTGCCAATGTGGATTCATCACACATAACAAATGAACCACGGTGCAGGATATCGATAATGGGGGAAGTTATGTACCTGCAGGGGAAGGGTGTGTGTAGATTATCTATATACACTTGACTCTGTTTTCCCCTGGATCTAAAATAGCCCTAATACATAAGGTCTATTAAAATAAAACAAACAAACAAAAAAGGAAAATAGAATAACAGAAGAGATATTGGCAGATTTGTCTTTTTTCTAATGTCCGGGAAAGCATGGCGTTTCTTCCACCTGGATGAACATCTGGATGTTTTTAAAGTCTAAACTCCAGAGTCATATAGTGATTTAAACAAAGTCAATACAATACATTGTAAGTTGTAAGTAGCACAAAAAGGATGACCCATTGCAAACATTTTTGTCTTTATAAGTGATATTTTGATTCACACTCTTCTTAGGTGAAAGGAAATAGCGGCAGTGACTGGTCTCTGTGGAAAGTTTTCCTGGTCTGCCTCTTAGCCTGTGCGATAACAACAGCAATTGGAGTCCTCGTAATATGCCTGGTGAATAATCGAGGAAGTAATTCCTCCGTTGTTATCCAGCTACCCACAAACAGTGGAGGGGTGGTAGATAGGGAATCTGGAACAGCCTCTACTACTTCCCAACCTACAGTGACCACCACTTCAACTGAACCTTCAACTATCACCACTTCAACAGAATCTACAACCACAACGGTCACAACCAGTTCTTCAACTCAGCCTTTAACCACAGCACCCCTCACCACAACTTCAAGTAGAACCAGATATATCACCACTGCCACAGAATCCATGGGTACGGTGGCTCCTCCATAGCTATTATTTGAAGAGCCACAACCATCACTTCATAGGAATCTACCCTCTCTACCCGACAACCTAGCTCACAACCACAGCAGCTACTCCTACCCCTTGAAGTTGAACAACAGCTGGTGCCACTTTATCAGACTTGCTGTTGTGACTTCATAGCACCAAATGCTAGTGCAACTGATGCTTAGCTGACAGCCAGATCCTCACCTCCACCATCTTTTCAACGAAACCCATGGCTACCTGTGCTTCAAGTGAAAGTACAGCTACTACCACATCCACTTAACCTACAACTACAGGAACTTCTACTTACTCTACAATAAGTGTTGATTACCCTCACTAGGAATCACAAATGCCGCCATTAACATTTTAACCTTAACTAAGTTACTATCAGTCACCAGAACAATCTCTTCTATCTCATTAACCTTTAGTCATTACAACTACAAATTAGCCTAAAATTATTCCCCACATTGACTTTCCTGAGAATTTATATTGGACTACTTCTTCTACAGGAGCTGAATCTGTATCATTGCCATTACTAAGTTACCATGATGCCACCATGGACCGTGGATAATGGAATAATTACCCCAATTTTTATGAAGTCAACAATTAGGATTTATAAAATTATTAAAACTGTTTTAGAATAATAGCAGTTAAGCTATAAGAATCTGATCTTGGTTCTCTAGTTCCAAATAATATATAGCTTTATATAAAAAAGTGACTATTTGTTTGCTAGAAATCATCATGAGATTTTATATGAAATGTTATACTAAAATTAGCCATTTGGATTTTAATATATATTGGTTTCAGTTCAGAACGTTGCATTTCTGTGTACACAAATTACATGCATAATGAACAGGGATTTCATATGCAGGGGATTTAAACAAATTTATACAGAAAAATATTAGAATTTATAACAATTATTTCTTCTAGGGTGAATTTTGTTATGTTTTTTTCAATTTCTGTTTATATTGTAACTTGCTTTTAATCAATCATATTCTTTTTTTGGACTAATATTACTAAAAGTGCATTTGGGTTTTTAAATTTGTATTTTAAATTACTTTCTGCAATATTGTAAGTCACTCAATTGACATTTCTTGAGTCACGGCTGGGTACTACAGCACTGAAAAGGTATACCAGAAGAAAAGAAAATGCACATTAACTAATAAATTCATTAATTTAGAGTGTTAATATTTAATTCTTAATGACTTTGGAAGGTTTGAATTAGAACTGATAATGATGCAGACTTTCTAAATCAGGATCTTAGATTGTAACTAGTAATCTGTACTTAAAAAACTGTATTGATATTTATAATATTCAGGGAGTTTGAGAACTAAAGATTAGAAGGTCGTAGTCTTATAATGACATTAGTTAGAGTGGTGTACATTAAAATTAAAAATGTTAAAATCAGAACTGTGTTCCAAGCAGGCAAGAAAGAGAATTACAGAATTATAGATCTAGGTAAGCTCCAAATCATCTTCAGCAATTTAGTGAGGCCCAAAGCAACTTAGCAAGACCCTGTCTCAAAATGAAATATAAAAAAGGTTGAAGATATGGCTCAATGGTAAAGCATCCCTATGTTCAACCCCTGGTACCAGAAGGAAAAAAAAAACACCTAAAAACTCTATGTATAAAAACTTATTTAGCCAAAGGAACATGAGATCAATAGGGGAATGTTTCATTTACCAAATAGCAATGAAATATGTTTAAGACAAATCTTAAATTTTAAGTTTCTCTGAAAATCTTAAAGTACTTGTTTTTTTTTTACCATTGGACCTAAGGGAATATTTTCTTATATATGCTTAAAAGTAATGACATTTTATAACTACTTAATTTGAATTTTTAATAATTACACATTGGCTTTCTCTTCCTTTCTTAATGTTTTGATTAAGAATATTTTTTGAGATATTTAAAATATCAGTGACTAGATAGTTCATTTCTTACTTGGAATTACCATTTTCTAATCCTTTCACAGTTCTGCTAGTCACAAGAATGATAAATAATTTGAAATGCATTCATTTGTCAATAAATACAAATGTAAATACACCTATTTTATTTCTCTCTCTTTATTTTACTTGTTGTTAGTTTTACATGACAATAGAATATATATGTACATATTACACATATACAGAGTGTAACTTCTCATTGTTCTAGTTTACATGATGTAGAATTACATTGGTCATGTAATCATATGTGCACACAGGAAAGTAATGGTGTACAGTTATTTTATAAGGTATGACAAGATTTCCTGAGTCGATTACATACTTGATGCTTAAGAAATAGACATGAAATAAGTGAAGAAATGATAACTAACTTGTACAATATAGGATTCTTGAGAATAGAACTGCCAAATTATTTATTATTTTATCCATTCAGCATGTAGTAGACCCCAATAAACATCTATAAAATGAAAGATAATTTTTAAGGCATGATTCTTCAAGAAAAGACTATTAGACATTTTAAATGTTATCATTAATAAAATAATTTAGCCTGTTTTTTTTTGTTTAGGTTGTATCATTAAAATTTTAAAATCTTTTTTTTCACAAGACTTATGTTACATATTTTAAAAATAGACTTGATTTACCTTTTGAATGCTCAAAGTTTTCATAAGTTTGGAATTCATCCTTTCTAATGACATAATAAAGCCTTTGAGTCACTCTTATTCTTTAGAAGAGGAGCTATGGTGGTGTTGGGAAAGACAACAGTAATTATTGTTCAAATGTCACATACCAGATACAATTATAAAGCACTTTCATGTACTTGACTCATATTTATGCTTTTCATCACGTTCTTTTCACCACATGGTCAATTTATGATCCACTCTTTGCCCCAGTATCCCCCCCATTTCAGTTAGTTCCCCAAAGACCAGAGAATAATAGACTATGTGCTTTTATGTGTTTTTCTTCTCAGCTTTAGTATACTTAATGAACATTATTTGGAAGTTTTCTCCCATTTAAGTTACTTGGAAGAGGTCGTCTTTTTTTTAAGAGGTCATCTTTTAAAGTTAAAAAAATTGGCACATAATACTTGTATATATTTATGGGGTACGGTGTGTTATTTGCATTCATGTACACGATTTGCTGTGATCAGAGTAGGTTAATTGATATAACTATCACCTCAAATATCTATCATTTCTTTGTATTGAAACATTCAAGATTGAGTCCTGCTTGGAAAATTTGCAGATTTTGTCTCTTTCTTGCTCTCTCCATGATGATTCTGCAGCACTAGGGATGAAAATGGATCCCTAATCTTCTGATCCCTGAAAGTGGGTTCATCTCGGGGGTTTTACTGGTGTTTACTGCTTCAGTCATCAATGGTCCTAACCTTGCTTTGGTTTGGTGCTCCTCTTTGCTCAATTGATAATTGTTATTCCCAGTGGGGTTTACTGTGGCCCCAACAGGAATGCCCCCCCTCCCCACCCTTCTTCTAGTGTTCCTCCTTGGATAAGAGAATTCTCCAACTTTACACTCTCAGCACACTCTGGATCATATGGAAACTACTGGATTCCTTCCAAGATGTACAGGACCTGAGAGTTCTCGGGGTCAACAGACTCTTGCCCATTTAACTACCCTTCTCTGTTTTGGATTAGATCTTTGAGAAGCGAATCTTTTAGTAATTCCTTGCAATGATTCATTTCTCACCATTGTCTCTTGGGGTAGTTTTCGTTAGCTTTTGCATTGCTGTAACCAAAATGCCTGACATGAACAACTTAGAGGAGGAAAGGTTTATTTGGGGCTCACAATTTCAGAGGTCTCAGTCCATAGATAGCTGACTCCATTGCTGTATGCCTAAGTTGAGGCACCACATGATGGGAGAAGAGCCCAGCTGAAGAAAGCTGCTCCCCTCATGGCAACAGGAAGGGGGATGGCAGGCCACAAGGAAGATGGATCTTTCCAGGGCACACCCCCCATGACCCACCTCCTCTAGCTACACCCCACCTGCCTACGGTACCACCCAGTCAGTTCATTCAAACTAGGACAGGCTGATTAGGTCACAGCTCTCATAATTCAATCATCTTACCTCTGAATATTCCTGCAATAACACTTTTGGGGGGACACCTCTCTTCTAAACCACAACAGGTATAATGCAAGAGCTCTTACTGTCCTCTTCCTTTCTATTCAGGCCAATTCACTATTTTAAATATTCCTCTTTCTTAGGTGGCATCAATCACCTTTTATTCCTGGGTTCTAACAGTGGTCCAGATGGGAATCAAGAAATCAGCCTACTGAAAATAGTTAGCTTTAAACAATTATGCCTAGTATGCATGTAAGCACTAATAGCCTGTCTAGAATGACAACTATGTAATTAGATACATATACCTATAGTATACATTAAGTATATTATAGCTACCATGTCAGTAGAAATCATTTAAATTTTCTTAATTCAAATAAATGAGAAAGTACTTGCCTATGTACTTTTAGTTTAGTTTCTATCTCTGCATGTTGTTGGAAGAATTCCTGCATATTGTTAGAAGTTCGGATGAAATTATGGAATTTGAAGATTTAATTCCTATTTATGTGTGACTTTTGGCTAGTTATTTGACCTCTCTGTGTTTTGGTTTCTTCATTTGTAATTTGAGTAAAATAATTGCATCTCCATCACTTTTCTAGGAATACTTACGAATTAATATCTGAAAATATTAGAAACATAATTGAAATTCAATCAAACATCTCAGCAAGATTCAGAAATAAACTGGGAAATGGTAAGGGTAACCTTCTGATGTTTGATTTAAAATTTATGTGTCAACATTATTCTTCAAAAATACGTGTTTCTTGGATCTGTCCATTAAAAGGTCTGTAGAAGCAATGAGTGCACCTGACTCCCAGGTCTTGGTTTCTAGATACCATTCCTCCTTGAGATAAGGCAGAGCTCTGGAGAATTGACTGATTCCAGGAAAAACACACAGTGAACCTTGGACATCTTGTGCACTCAGCAAGGAAGCTCTCAGAACCCAGTGGGGATACTTCACAAGAAGAGAGAAGCCTGGCTGTCTGAATTGGGAACAGTGGGAGTGTCAAAGAGAGTAATGACTCTACGTGATTATCAGATATTAAAACAATGAAAGTCCCTAGGTCCACAGTGATAGTAAAAGCAAAGGTGAAAGAAAGCATTCATTTTCTATCAGTGAACCAATATTTACCCAATTCCTGAATCCAGAATTGTGTAATTAAATGGAAAAGATTAAATATTTAATCTACCTTTTTAGGAGAACCTGAAGTTCCTCTCCAGCTGACGAAAGATAATTTTCTTATACAGAGACTATTTTCAGAACAAACATGAAAGAAAACAATGGAAATCATCATTTCACAATCCCATTGAAATAATCAATTCAGTTAAGGATAATCAGTTGATACTAAAAGCATAGGATGAAAGGTGGCAAGAAAGAGTGTACTGTGCGATGTCCACGTATCACTGTAGACAACTCTAAATAAAAAGACGGACATTTTCAGTGTGATGAGATCTGAGAGGTTGCCTCCCCCATCCCCCACTCCCTGTAATTTTTCTTCAAACCAATTCATCCTTCCCCAACTTACCTATGCATCATCCATTTGAGATCTTCTAAAAATCCCTAGCAAGAGTCTTCTGCTCACGAGTCCCATGATGTTATTTCAATTCACTGGCTGCCTTGCACACTTCATTTCTAATCTCCTAAATCTCTGCTTGTGGTATTCACTCTTCTGGAATATTCTTCCAGACTTTATTTACTATCACTTCATACATATTTTTCTTTTCTTTTTTTGGTACCAGGGATTAAACTTAGGAGCACTCACCACTAAGCCACATCCCCAGACCTATCTTGTATTATATTTAGAAACAGGGTTTCACTGAGTTGCTTAGCACCTTGCTTTTGCTGAGGCTGGCTTTGAACTCAGGATCCTCCTGCCTCAGCCTCCTGAGCTGCTGGGATTACAGGTGTGCGCCACTTCATACACATTTCTTGTTTCCTTCTCACAAATTTCCAGGGTTTGGCATATACTACTTTGAAACTTTATGGTATATTTTCTTCACCTGATGACATTGCAAGATACTCACATTTGCTTTTCAAATGGGTTGAAAATGAACTATGTTGACCATGAACTCCTAGATTCAAGTGATGCTCCTGCCACAGCCTCCTGACAGTTGGGATTACCGTCCTGCACCACCACACCTGGGTGCTACAACATTTTTGTGAGTGTATCACAGCTAATACCCCACATAGTATTAACTAGTTGCCAGACGCACTTCTGAATGCAGCTGCTTTAACACAACGTGTACAGCTTCCCAGATGAAAGGAACACAGTCATCTAAAGCTGAGAAACTGGCTTAAACCCTCCCTCTTGACTTTGTTTCAGGACCACACCTAGACTCTGCTCTTTATATTTAGCTTCAGTTCTGGATGCTTCTGCATTTCTCTTTTCTGTAGGTACCTTGGCATGTTTTTCTGGTTTTCACATCTGAGTTAATGTTTCTGACAACGGTCTTTGATTTTCTTTAAATATTCCTTTTTTATTTTCCCTTTGGATTTGCCATGTCTTCTATCCCACTTAATCTTGGTCTAACTACTTCTTATTGACTAACTTAAGACAACT